CAGCCCTCTCTCTGCCACCACCGGCTTCTGCGGGTGCCCCTCCGGACTCAGGAGGCACCAGTCGCCCATGGTTGTGGCCGTGTTGGTCTAAGGACACAGGCAGACAAGGTTCTTTGGGTAAATGTGATATCTTTTATTAGACCAACTCAAATCACATTTACCCAAGGAACCTTGTCTGCCTATTCCCTGTGCCAGGAAGCTTGTCTAACTTTATCCCAGCTCTACAGTGGGCCACAATAACAGGTATCACCCCACCCCACCCCAACCTTACCTTTCACACAACTCCTGGACTATCAGGGTTACAGTGCCACTCCATCACTACCATTATTTTGGAAGTTACTCAGATTTCCCTTGGTGCTCACTGACATGATTGTCCTGGCATAGAAACCTTCATGCTTCAAAACTTATCAGCATCAGGCTAATCGTCTTAAACTCCTGGCATCTTCCCTTCAAAGAACTCTTTCGAGAAAGGCCTTTTACGGCAGGTCGTGCAGGATAGAAACATGAGGCTCCCGTCAGGTTTTCAGTCCACACACACGCCCTGAATAGGAGTGATTGCTGCAGGTCTTCACCTTTTATTTGAAGACCCCTACTTTATTTGAATTAATGTCCCCTCTGAATACAAACTTTGCCTTTCAGAGCAGATTGACAAGGCTACAAAACTTTGGCACTGCACATGAAAGGTGGAAGTAGCCCATTTTGCCATTGTGGGAAAGTGTAATGCTATTCCATCCTGCCTCCCTCTGAAAAAAAGCCAGGGAAAAATAAGTGCATAAGCTAATGCTAACCCTGAAGGCCTGAAAGTGCTTTTTCAAATAGATCACTGAAGTATAGCTCTTCATCTAGAAGGAAAAAAGCTAGTTTGGTTACTAGCTGCTTAAGTAAGGGGATTAAGGGGATTTTTGCTACGCATACAAGACTAATACCAAAATAAAAGCAATGAGGTCTTGCAGAGAAAGTTTTGCCATCGTTGAAGTCTTACTTGAAAGCAGCAAAGAGGAAATTAATTTTTTTCCTGTAAATCTATCTTAGAAGGATGAAGGGCTGAGCTTAAGTTTAGGTCTGGAGTACCCAGGTAACACCCTTACACACAAGGTCCAGGGTTCCCAAATGAAACGCTATATTTTTTGGTCTAATAAAGGATATCAGATTTACCCAAAAAGCCTTGTCTGCTGCCATCCTTAGACCAACACAGCTACAACCTACACCCCTGAAACTATATTTTAACTTCACAGCTCTAAGCCAGATGGGTTTAGCTGCAGTTTACTCTAACAGTCCTCATTAAGGGTACGCAAACAGTATTAGCAGCCTGGTAACAAATGCTTTCAAAGAAACATAATTTTAGGTTTATCACTTGCTGAAGTTTTGACACACACTATGAAGATTAGCTCCTCTATATTTAAGAAAGGAAATCCACGTCAATGTTTAACACTAAAATCTCGGGAAAGCCAAGTTCAGGAAGACATGTGGTTCTACACCACTTTCAAGACGACGCTGGGAATTTGGTTCGTAGATTATTACTTCAATTGTGATACGACTCCGGTTATGTCTGTACAGCTCCTTGTGCATGGGGGACAGTGGCGTCTAGGTGTTACTGCCATTAGTTCTAAAACACCACAAATTCACTAAATTGCAGCTCTAAGTGTCTGTCATCAGCTTGGCATCATCCTTTTTAACGTTTTACCTAACACCCTAAAATACAAAATTAAAAATATTGGCGAGAAGAGCACTGAGACTTATTTGCTGCACAAAGCTATATGACTTGCACTGAAAAGCAGAACTTTCTTCAGCCGTTGAGGAACTTCAGAAAGGTGTACGCTTCTTCTTTTCAATAATAAAAAGAACTTTACACAAAAAAGTAGTTTGAGGTATAAAAAGACAGCGAAATAAGCTAGTTTTTTAAAAGCCTCTTCCTTGCATTTATCAATAATGAAAAATGTAGGGGAGATTTCTTAAGCTAGGACTTTTATCTTGCTAGCGTTGAAAGCGCACAGTGAAGTCACAGCTCTTAATTTTTAGGTGCACAAAATAGATGTCGACATGCGTTTTGCCAGACAGTTGCTTTTGGATCTGTTACACATTATCTTGAACTTAATTAACTGAAGATAAAGCCGAGACCTAAACAAATGCCAGTTCTTTAACTACAAACAAATGAAACTACAAAGCAACGGATGCTGCACGCTAGAAAAGCAATTCAATACAACAAGAGATTCTCAATTTATTTGAAATAATTCAGTTTGAAAAATTTTAATTTAAAATTTACAGCACACATGGGGAAAACATTTTTTTATTACAACTAAAAATTATCAGAAGAGTGCTGCAGATTTTTGCTTTATTTATTTAACACTGTCATGGCTTTATTCAAAACACAGTTGCACAAAATCAATTACTTCAAAGTTTAAGGAGAAAGTTTGATAAGGGACTGAACGCACTATATACATACTGCCATACAAAGAGCATTTAAAATAGGACAAAAACTTCTACAAAATATAAAACCCGCCCTTACAGTTTGCATGAAAAGACCACCCACCAAGCCAAAAAAAGAAAAAAGTTTCAAAAGTTTCAGAGGCTCTTTGTATTACACCTTTCTTTTTTTAAAAAGAAAAAAAGAGAAAAAACACACAAACAAAAACAAAACCCCAAAAAGCTGTATTATCTTGATTGCATGTCAAACTGGCTGACGCACAAAACTTCAGTTAGATATTAACATTTTGCAAAAACAACACGCTTTCTTAAATGTAGTTGGATATGAGGCTCAGACTCTGGTGAGCAGTGACTGATCACTACGCTAAATTGTGCAGGGGAGAGAAGCCCCCCTACATGCTCTGCTAACCTCTCCAAAGCTTGATTTGATCCCATTCTGTCAATATTTTAGTTAAATGTAATGAAATGTTACCATGATTTAAAGGCAGACTCCTTTACTACACAAAAGCTCCCGTTAACTTCAGTCACTTTCACTGAAACACAATAATTTCACTTAAAAATCCCTTTCTATTTAAGAACAATTCTAAGAGCCCTCAATACAAGATGTTATAGCGTAAACCTTATATTGAGAAGCACCTTTGAAATACAGGTCTGTAAATAATAGGCTCTCTTACTTGCCGAGACAAAAAAAAGCAAACAATAAAATGATCAAAGCAAACTGAGATGAGTGTAGAAAAACCACCTTGAACACAGAGCCTCCAAGACGAGACGGGGGTTCACTAGTCCATTCAGGATTCAAAATGCAAACGTGGGAACTAGGCTGCAATTGCAAATGTAGTTTCCAGGGTCTTTAGAGACACCCTGCTTTATAATTTAAAAGCCATTCAATCTATTTATTTCTAAATCTTTACCAACTGCACCTAACACTTTTAACTCAGCTATCGTTAGAAGTTGGCAGTGCTTTACAGCTACATGGAAAACTATAGTTTGGTTTTTTTTTGTTTTTTTTTTTAAGGCTCTAGTTAGAAAAAAAAAAAAAAAAAAAAAAAGAAACCTATATAAGAAATTGGGCTTTTCAGACCTCCTCAACCCTGCAGCGTTTTAAATTTTGAGTCATAACTCACAAATTACAGTCAGTCGGAGCATGAAATGCCTCGTTAAAATATTCATACGTGACATTACTATCAAAATCCAGAAAATCCCCCTACTATCCTTTCCCAGTTTAATGACAGTTATTTTATTTTTAGACAACATACAAAAATGTCTCTTTAATAAAGCTGTGTATGATATTTGGTTCAGTATCTATTTGAAACAAAGGAGTTGCAATAAGAGTACGCTTCGAAATCCAGATTCTGACTTAAAGGAGGTGCGTGTGCATCCACCCACCAGAATTCAGTAAGAGGCGTTGGTCAAGTGGTCTACCCAGGAGCAGTAGTCTGCACATCTCCTACCCTTGCAGCCAGCTGTGTTTAGCAGAAAAAGTTTCTGCAGGTTCTTAGTTCATCTTCAAAGCAACTTACTGCTGAACACATAGGTAAAATGATAAAGTACGATTTAAATATGAACGGTTAAGAAGTAACTTGAAAACATTGGGCTTATGCTATCACTTAACTTTTTATGGTGCTGAGGGCTTTGAAGATTTTTAATTGAAAAAGGGGTGCTAGATGGAGTTACCCATTGCTTTTTACACTAAAAATGCAGGCCCTACATAGCCCAAAGGTATTTTCCAACTACAGGTTTCCCCCCAGCTTTATGTGGGTTTTGTATGTGCGAATTCGCTCTTTGCGATGACCCTTTTTATACCAAAAATGCGTTATACGTGAGGTAATTTCACTCTTATGTGAGCTGCATGGTGGACGCCGGTAGCCAGCTGTTTTGTGCAGTGTATTGTGGGAGTGACAAGCACCAAAATATAGTCTCCTGTGCGGATCTGTGCTCCTCGCTCGTTGTCTGCAACATGTGTTTCTGTAGTTGCCATCCCCATTATGATAGTGCCCTGTGCTTGTGTGTACCGTTTGCTGTTGGGTACCAAAATTGTCTTGTAAAAGTGGTAGAAATGTGTCTGGGGGGTCAGTCCAGTTGAGGTCTTGGAATGAATCCCTATTCGTTACATTGTAAAGTGGGTTCCCTTTATGTGAATTTGATTTGTGCGCCATTTTCCAGGAACGCATGTAGAGCATAAAGCGAGGGAAACCTGTACAGTTGGAAATTTCACGAGATCACAGAGCCAAGTGAAAACAGTTTAGAGGAAAAGATATTTTTAGTCAGACAGTTTAAAACTTTGGGTTATTGGCTCTTCTGAATAGCTATTAAAATATGAGTACCCATTTTGGGGGTGAGGGAGGAGGGAAGAAATAGACTTAAGGATTTTACCACTTCATCAGAAGTGAGAATTAATAAAATACATCCTCAGACATCCAGCAAGTCCTCAAGCAAACATGCAAACTTCTGAAGAAGCTAGGGGAAAAATAGTTCTTAAAACTTGTTTAGGTTTCCTCGTAAGTCATAAAACATAAAAAAAAAAAAGAAGTACAAGAAGCTCTTAAAAAAAAAGTCACAATTTAACAAGTGTAGTACAAGACCCTCTTAAAAAAAAAGTCACAATTTAACAAGTTAAAATAAGGTGTAGTCAAGGTATTGATCTCAGGCTGAACTCGTGGTCAAGCTCAGTTGGATAGAACTACTTCTCATTTCATAGAGACTTGATTTTTATCATAAAGTATCTTTGATTTCAGCTTACGTATAGTTTTAAAATACTGAATAAAATCCACCATACTAAACCCATGTAAAACACTTCTCGTCTTAATTGTGGGTTAATAATGACCAACACAGCAAGCTTGTATAAAACAAAAATTCAAAAAAAATTCTAGGGAAAAACTTGACAATGAATTCAGTGATTATAGGGTTGAAAATTGTTTTCTACATATTTCACTAACAAGGTTATTACATAATATTCGGAATGATAAAAAGGGCAAGAATAGTAAAACCACACCTTTCCTATAAAAAGTTAACATGTTATTTTCTGTAGGGACATCTATGGTACATGATCACTATTGCGTATTCTGTAACTTAAGAGTCTGGTCCTATTTGTTTCTGTAACAAATTAATCATCCTCTTCTTCGCCTTCATCTTCAGGTTCTCGTTTCCTCTTCTCCCCTCGGACACCCTCAGCTGGGGAAAGAAGTTATATATATATCTGATTAACTTCTCGAAGGTTAGACGCAATAAGAGACTAAGGAATAACAAGACTATTTCAGTTGTCATCTCTCTCTCTCTATACGTTAGCTGTACACATTTTTCAGGTCATCAATAGTGGCAAGCAGGGTTTTTTGGTGATACAAGTCACACTGAGCATGTTATACCTCATATTGGAAACAGGCTGTTCTTCAATACAAAGCACACTTGAATCCCATTATACCTATACCTATACTTTACAGTCAGCATATGAGATTAAACAGATTTGAAATAGGAAGAGACCCATTTAAGTTTTCTTTTCCGAGTCTACATTTGCCCCGTCTTAAGAGTTTCATATAGAAAATGTGGTGGTATGGAGACGTTGCTTTCTCCCGTTACAGAATGAGGTATCCTACAGTTACAATTGAACTCATTTAAGTATCCGAGTTCTGCACTTAACCAAAGAAATATATTTAATTCAGCTGGCCAACTATGCGCTCTGCTGGTGAAAGTATGAAATGCAATTTAGATCCAACTGGAGCAATACTTTCTAGCCCAGTGGCTAGCAACCTTTTGGATCTGGCCTGTAGGCCGTAGGTTGCTGACCCCTGTTCTAGACAATTAAACGTCTTCATTGATTGCTTAATGGGAGGTAGCAAGTACAGCACTGCTTTTGAAAGAGTGAAAAGTTAGTTTTGCCAGTTTAGATTTTAAAGAGCAGCTTAAAAGTCTCAAAAAGACAGTCTATTAAACAATGTGCATAGTGCAAACAGCTTCTAGTCAAGCCCTCAGTTCTAGTGTTTGGCTATTGGATGGTATTTTGTATGGGAACAGGCAGAGAGGCTACACAAAAATCAACTTTTTAGCATTGTGACTATGCATACATTCAGGCTGGAAATTAGAAGAAGGTTTTTAGCCATCAGAAGTGGTTGGAGGGGGCGGGCATGCAAAACCCTAACTACTTTTAAGACCCAGCTTTGTTAACATTTATTAAAGGGATTATATGAGGCTGACTGCAATAGCAGGGGATTCTGTGACCCAGGAGATCCATCGCAGCCTTGTGGCTAAATCTGGCCACTTCTCCCTCATAAGGAAAAGCTGCCTATAAATAAAACGCCCCACTCTATGCATCACAGTACAGATATTTTCTGCATAATCCTTAGCACAGAGACTGGTATGAACTTACAGCTGACCATTATTCATCTAGCATCCAAAAGCTATACAAATATAAGACTGATCCACACCCTGGAGAGACTGAACTCTAAAGACAAACAAAGGAGCAGGAAAGATGCAGCTGTCCTCATTAAACATTTTCTGCTGCTATCTTTTACCTTTTGTGTTGCTGTACTCATTTGATTAATTGTAATGGATCCCAATATCTTATTTGGGCTTTTCATATTAACCATATACAAGACCATATGGAAGTAACCCACTTCTGCAGGCAAACAACTCCTAATATTCAGTTCCTGTAAGTCTCTACTCCTCAGTGCCCTATGCACTTAGTACTAATATCTTCTCTCTGCAGGGTGAATTCCCTTTGTAAACAGCAGTTTCAAAGATGAAGTTAAACAGATTATTCTCCCTCCCCATAACTACTAAATCAGAATGAATTCAGACACCCCCCAATGCATTATTAAATGTGAAAATTCATTTAAATGTAAAAGAAAACTAGAACTCTTGGTTCCAAAATGATACCTCTTACTAGATCAACTGGAAAATGCCATTTCCCAGTTGGTCTAATAAAAGGTATCATTTTGAAACCAAGAGTTCTAGTTTTTTGTATGTCTTTATGTCTCAGACCAACAGGACTACCAAGTACACCTTTAAACGTAAAAGATTTTTTTTGCCCATTTCACCGAAGGGTTACGTGGTGTTAGATGAGCTGAACAGATGTGCCATAAGCTGACAATGGCAGTGAGCTGAGACTTGCTAATTTACAGACGCCAAAAGAATGGACATGTTTTTTAAAAAAAACGAAACAAACAGCTTTCACGCTTTGCAGAACCTACCTTCTTCCTCCTCATCGCCACCTTCTTCGACGTAATCGTCGTCATCATCTTCATCCTTCAAGATACAGAATATTAAGAGATTTTTAAAAAACTACAGTATGCTTAGGTTGTAATTACATGTGCTTTGCAGAAGACTAAAACAGCACTTTGAGGTTTAAAGATCATGTTTAATTCTGTTTTTATTACTAGACATTTGTACAGACCAGAGTCCCAATTTACTATATTACACTTATCAAGTTAGCAAAGATGTACAAAACCAAGGCTGGAGTCTTTTATTTGGAGTTTTTTTCTGCTGTTACTTCTGACCTACCAATAATGATTATGCCAACTAGTTGTGAAAATGTCTCAAGAAGAGTATTACAAAATTCAGTGGCCCACAACAGCAATAGCTGATAAGAACCCTTTTTGTTGGTAACGGAAGTCAAACAAGAAGGGAGAAAAAAGAGTTTATACGTCCAGAGCTGTTTTGTTTCTAAACAAAACAAAAGTTGCTTTATAAATGGGGTAACTGGACAAATTTAGGCCACTTGGCTACAGGAAATCCTAGAAATGTTACACACATACACCGAGATCTCCGGTAGTATAAGTGCAATAGCAGGAACTGAGGACAAACTAAAGCTTTTTTTGCATATAGGTAATATCTTTGCAAATATATTATCTGCCAAATGAAATGCTTTACAACATCTGGTAAAAGTTTAAAGGCATTTAGCAATTCATTCTGGAATTTCATCTTTAACCGACATGTAAATTTAGGATGTGCTTTTCCTGAATTTATTCAAGTTCAGGTTTAGCTGGTGTATAATTATGCTGATTCCAGTCCTCATTTTCCCTTTCCAAAATATACTGAAATTGTTAAGACGGGACTTTCTGAACCGTGTGTGCTTAATGTTGGCTACTGCCTACTCCCCATCAACAACAAATGAAAGGAGTCCTTCCTCTGTTACCAAGCTGTGTTGTGGTAACATTAGGAGTACTTTAGTTCCCAATGTCTTTAGCCCATGCTGCAGTTCTTCACCTCCTGGCAGCCACTGTACACAGAAGCCACTAAGTATACTGAGGTTTCTAACAATATTGCCACCCCCACCAATCAAGCGTTCATTCATTTTCTAAAAGAATTACTGCCAAGTTCTTACTCAGATCCTCAAATGAGATTTCGTTTTTAGCTTTGGAAGGTGGTTTTTCTCCTCAAAATCTGACCTGGTAGAGAACAACACGAATTCTTCAAGGCAGTGCAGTAATGAATCTTGAAGCATTTCATTGAGCAAGACAATGCAGAATACCAAAGAGAAGTGGTTCTCCTACTGCAACGCACTTTTTTGATAGTAAAAGGTCTCTCTCTAAAGTAGCCTATGGCTCACATAGGATAGTGGATTTACATGGTTCTGCTTACAGAAGTTTAAATTATTACACATTTATAGTCAGACAGTGTCAAGAAAATCCTAAGTCTTACAGTAGAAAAGGGAAAGTCCTACCTGGATCTCCTCCTTCATCAGGTATGAAAGACCAACTTCTTCCTCCTCTTCACCCTCCCCCAAATCTGAACCCGCATCATCTTCATCTTCTTCGTATTCTCCTGGTGGACCAGCTTCATCTTCATCTTCTTCATCCTCCTCATCCCCTTCTGAAAAGCAGGTAATTAATTCCTTACAGCTTCACTTAAACCTCAAAGGCTTGTTTGTAAACTCATCTTAAATAAGCTTCTAAAAACCGAATGAGCTACAGAATCAAATATGAAAATGATGCGTACAAAAAAAAGCAAAAGCTTTTGGTATCAGCAATAAAATGACTGCTTTTATATAGTTATGTCTCAGTAAAAAGATTTGTACTCATGTTTTCCTAAGTGCAACTCTCCTTTAACTGTGCACAGCACCCATGACTACACTGTTTGCAACTGCATTCCCCCCGCCCTCATTACTCAACAGAAGCAGTATTTGATACTGGCCTACACTTCAAAAATGTAGCTGATTTGTGCTCCAGCAGTTGCACAGTCACTCTAGTTCCAATTTTATATTTAGATACCGACTGAATGGCATAACTAATGACTGCATGTTTAGAGAAGTTACCTTCATCATCCTCATCTTCTGAGTCAGGGGCCTCGTTATCTTCCTGATCAAACCCATCTAGGTAGGTGATCTGTTGAAGCAGCTCAAAAACGCTTTCCCTGTAATCCTCCAGGTTTGTGACGTCACAGTTGAACAAGTCCAGGCTCTTCAAGTTTTTGAGATTTTGCTGAAGATGAATGAAAAGTTACTCACGGAGATGAAATAACTATTTGGTACCTCCAAGTACTGGACTGTTGCCTCCTAAATGTCATTGATTTTACTATGTATACCTACTACCTTCTCTTCTCCTTTGCTGTTCCCCATTGTCCAGAGTCCATTTAAGAAGTCTTGGTGCTGACAGTCAAAGTTCCTTCCCCATAAGACCAGAGATACCACCTCTCCCTCTACACTTGCTTTTGAAATAGCTTTGACCCAGGTTACTTCCCATTAAGATGCATGTCTTTGTTTCTGGAAGCCCCAAAAGTACATCCCTCTTCAGAAATATGATCCTATAAATCACCCAGGGCTCTCCCATTCTCTGGGGTCAGCACAGCCAACTGTCCCAGCACCAATCCTACCATGCCTGGTAGAGAGACAGCTTTCCATGGCCTGAATGAGGCAGCTATGGATGTGCTGATAGAGGTAATCCTGCTTAGGGAGTAGGAGATCTGGGTTTTGCAGCCCATTATAATCATTAGCTGTTAGAGGTGTTCTTTTAAATACTTCAGTGATACTATGAAATTGCAGTTTTGGGGGCCATGTATAAGAGACACCCCTTTCAGAGGGTAGTTTTGGCACTTAAACAAGTATGCAACAAGTATAATTAAATAGAAACAATTTTATCTCTGTGACAACTCGAACCAGTGAGATGCAAGGCAGACTATCATTACCAAGTTTCTAAAACACTTGTTTAGCCTGTGTTTAGTAATAAGAACAGCAAAATTAATCATAAAGATTAGCACCTTGCTTCCAAAAACTTAATTAAAAATTTGTGAACTGTTTTTACTAGGCCACAAACCACTTGTTAAAAATGGTCTTGTGGATACCTTTCATTCACTAACCAAGCAGTTTAACTTTTTTTTCAGCATAAATCGGTTGTTATTAAAGAAATCACGGTGTCTTTTAATGCATTTTAATCACTGAAAACAAATACGGGCAATACAGAACTATTGCTGGCAGACCACAAGTTTGAATACATCTCCTCCTGTAAATCCCACGGCTGACACAAAATTGATTACTACAGTGTCTTTACAAGTCTGTCTCTAACGAACCATAGGATGATGCATTTATTGCAATAGGAGTAATCAATACTGGCCTAAGTGGGATACAGAAATTAAAAAAAAAGAAGATTCAAATGTTGCCAGAACTGGCAACAAAAAGCTACCCAAGGCTGGGGAAATAGCGAGTTTTACTTTTGGGATACTGTTCAGTTCTGTTGAATGTCACAGTTAAGCCATCTTGTTTATTATCTTTTTGTGTTTTATTGATTTCCTATTTAAACCGTGTTTGTTGTACTTATCCCTTCTACTTGCAATGACCTTCTATCGTCAGGCACTTACAAACTTTACATTTGCATTCAATTATAAAATTATTATTATTCTTCTTTTATAATGCTAGAAAGATACTGACTTCTTTAACACATTGCAATTTTCTAAGAATCTTACTTTGTACTTACAAGGGCTTCCACAGTGCTGAGATCTTTGATTTTGTTGCCACTTAGATTTAGATATGTGAGATTTGGACATCTTTCTGCCAGGACCTCTAGGCCTCCCGAAATGACATTGTCGCTCAATTCCAGCTACAGCGCACAAAAGTTGGATAATTAGATGGTTGGTTTGATTGCTATCAAAATCAAGAGCCTGTATTTTATTGAAAGAACAAATGCATCACATGACTATTGACTTCCTGTAGAGCCCGTAAGACCTCAGATTACTTGCATAAAATGAAGTCTGGTTAAAAATACAGCAACCCATGTTGATCACATGTATGTCTTTTTAGAGCCTAACATTTATTTCAGAAGCTCTTCACACCTGCACTTGATAGTGATAATTCATTAACTAGTTTCATACTTGGGTGCCTACAGACACTTAAGCATGTTCTACTGTAAGTCGGCAAGTGATCTCACCGATTCCAATTGCTCAGTTAGCATACTTAGTACGGTGCAAGCTTAAAATATTTCCAGGCTTTATTTTTTACACGGGGATGTGAAACATAGCATTGGATCTTTGTACAGGCTTTAGGTCAACAGATTAGGTTGAAACTGGTTCCTTACAGGTAATGAACAATGATTTCAGTGTTCCCAGCACTTCACCTAATGTGATTGCTCCCGACCCCCTCTCTTTACAACAGAATGGGATGGCCATCGTTAACACAGTTTTCAAGTGATGCTTTTTCAGTACTTTGGCTCATTAATGTTTGAAACCAGCATTAATTACATTCAGGGTCTTAAAGACTTAATTCTTAAGTTAGCAATGTTTAGTAAAACATTTCAATGAGATGCAAACGTGACCGTGACTATGGAAATACGCAAGTAGTTTAACTGTTGGTGTGTTTCAAGGTATACAACTTTGGCAGGAGAGAACCGATGGGTTTTTGTCTGAAGATGCATACCTTTCGGAGCTTACTCAAGGTGGGGAGCTTGGCCAGGGATGTCAGCTCTACGTTGGCCATGCTGAGAAACTCCAGCTCTTTAAAGGAGTCATTCAGACCTTCAATTTCGCCATTGCTGGATCGGCAGTTATCAAGCACTAACTCTGTCACCTTTAAACAAAACATAATGTCACTTATTACTTTAATAGGGACCCTCAACCAAGCAAGCAATTCGGGTCAAACCAGCAGCCTGACGACAGGCTTTACTTCTCATCTGGGAAGACCTGAACTTGAGTTGTCTGAACTCATTGACCATATCAACCTTGAGAGGAAGTAAACAGAGTATGAAGCACCATCACAGAGAACCAGAAGATAAAACTTAATTTCTTTCTGTTAACATGCTGGCTTCAGAAAGCACAACCACCAAGACAGAGTTCACAATCGCAGTCCTTTACAGGGCCGGACAAAAACCCATGGTCCTGGTTCTGATGAAAGCCAGGAACAGATGCATCAGAAGAAGCAAGGAGCCAAAAGCCAACTAGGCAATTACAGAATGACCTACCCATATAGTTTCCTTCCATAGCCATCACTAAATGGTTGCTTCATGCCCAGATGAGGGTTTATATTCCCATTCACTATTTAAAATAAGGGGGTATAGCCTCACTTGCCAGAAAAAAGCACCAAATCCTCTTGCAAACCCTATAGCTTTGACACTCAAAATATTGAGGCAGGGAGTACCATAGGTTAATAATGCACCAGACTGAAGCATTTGCTGCTTTATTCTAGATGCATTTACTCTATGTCGCTGAACGTCTTGTAGGGAAAAATCCATTTTCTGCTTGTCCGTCCTCCATGTCCCCACAAGTGGGTTGACCACAGTTGCTATTTTACCAATCCGGCTGCAAACGAAAAGGATTAAATGCAACACCAGTCTGGGAAGTTCAGCTCTGAAAGATTCATCTGTAGAGATGACTAAAAAAGTCACTTGTTCACTGACGACTTCTGAGTTATTTTGGTGGGCACGAGCTGCTCATTTGTTTCAAGTTTACAATCTTATTTCATGTTGCTGCAGAAAAAGGTGACCAGAGAGACTAGCTTTGAATTGTTTTGTGGTTTCCAAGTCCCAAAGTTGTTCAGGTTTTGCCCTGAAGAAAAGGGAAAGACTAAAACCATTTTGGGGGGGGGGGGGGGGGGGTAACTCCAGCCACAGTTTAAAGGCTTTAAAAAAATAATCCTACACAGTCAACTTGTTAAAAAATATACTGTTTATCTGAGTAGTAGTTTTTATGCAGGGAATCTTTGTGCAATCAGTCACCCAGGCTGGGGTGGAGTAAAAGCACTTTGCAATATCAACCTATCTGGACTTTATTCTTGGGGAGAGCAAGACACGCCAGTCGATAGCGTCCTTACTGACCTAAATGCAAAAACATCTGCTGGAGCGACAAATCATTTGTTGGCCGAGTTTAACAGCAGGGAAGCGGAGGCTGCAAGTTGATCAGCCTGCTCTCCATGCAGCTGGCACTGCAGTCAATGAAATTACTACAGGAGATTAACTAAAACCACGACCCTCTCCTAAAAAGCAAAGCGCGGCCACAATCTTTCCCTGCGCAGCAGGGGAAAAAACCATGCATCAGATAACCACCTGCCTACAGCCACGTCAGGGGGTGGGGGTGGAAAAAAAGTACGTTTAACAATAGACGAAGCCTCTTCAGACATCACATCTCAATTCTGCGCATCTCGATTTGTTTTTGTAAGCACGAGTGCCTTGAGGCTGGCCAGAACCAAAATGGCTCAGGATTAAAAAGTTAAGAGAAATACTTTCAAGATGCTGTTGGCCCCCTTGCGCTGCGTTTCTGGACTTGACGTCAAAGGAAGAGGATTGGAAAAAAAAAAAAGAAAAAAAAAAGAACCCCCACCCCCATAAAGTTTCGCCGTCACTGGCTTGCACAGGACTTTTGTTTTGAAGTCACGCCGGAGCGGCAGGGGATGGCATTTTCTGCAACACTGGAGCACCACTCCCAGCGCTGAGTTCGCGGAGGGAAGGAGCTACCTGACTGTAGCTGCATGGCGGGCAGGGAGAAGAGCCCTCCTGCGTTGTTCATGACCTCCCAACCGCGAACCTGACTGCTCTTGGTGGGTGGAGGGACCGGCCAGGAGCCTATCTTGTCTCCGATGACTGAGCAGGACCCAGCAGCAATCGCCTTATCTGCCTTTAGCCATTAGGAAGGCCGGTTATAAGCCGTGTGGCTGCAAGGGAAGGAGAGGAGGGTGCCATTACCCCATCATGTGCTCTCTGGGCAGAGCTGAAAAAACTCAGGGAGGGTGGAGGTGGGAAGGAGAAAGAAGAGAATCATCATCACCATCATCATAATAACGATAAGTAATAATAGATCCAATCCTGAATAAACAGCCCCAAACGTCAGCCGAGAGACAGGGCAATTTTGACGAAAAGAGGGTTTCTGATCCTCTCCGATCGCCGGCTGGAGGAAAGCAAAGTCGGATCTACCCAGATGGTGTGGTCTTTTTTTTTTTTTAAGATGGATTCGGTGCCACTACGACCTGTTTACAACCTCCACCAGCGAGAAGTTAAAAATAAATGAAGACCCATCCTGCCAGCAATGCCAACGCGGGAGGGATGGGCGAGCGGGGGGCACGCGACTTCGGGCTTCTCCCCACCCCAAAGAAAAGCAGCTGTTGATTTATTCATTTATTTTTAAAAAGGATCCTTTAACACCTACCCCCCCCCA